CAGAAGATTAGGATTTGAGAGAACACAAAGAATAAATGCACCGGCGCCATTGCGAACGATTTTGAGCCATGTCATTCAAGGTCTCTAACCATCGATTATTATCATCTCGCGGACCCCAACCAGGTAGTCGACAATTACAGACATGGCTCAGTCCACTCGTCAATGATTCCATGGATTTATGCCATGTTTTGGTCTGGCCGCGCCTAGCTTTCTTCCAACCTATTCCTACACTACAAAACAAAGCTCTGCGAGGCAGTCGGTGGTTGGGCATACGCAACACATGTCCCAACCACCTCAACTGATGAAGTTTCAATACTTCATCGATTGATCTGCCATTCTTACCTAGCACCCGTTTCCTAATAACAGCGTTGCTCACCCGGGTGTCCCAGGATATACGAGCAATGCTTCGAACACACCTATGATCGAAAACCAGTAACCTACGAATATCTTCTACTCTCACTGGCCATGTTTCACAGCCATAAAGTAAGACGGAGCGAACCACTGCGCAGTACACTCGTCCTTTAGTCAACAAACGGATATCTCGCCTACGCCATAAGTGACGCAGGTTGGCAAAAGCCAATCAAGCCTTCTGTATCCGTGCTGAAATTTCGTCAGTCATCAGGCCATCGGCACTGATGAGACTCCCAAGATATGTGAAGCGGTCTACACGTTCGACTACTTCACTCCCTATCACTAGTTCAGGTGCCAATGCAACCCAGTCTTGAAGCAACATTTTGCATTTCGAGGGGGAAAACCGCATCCCGAACATGCATTGTTGCTTAGGGTACTTATTTGGTACACCTTTCAATGACAGACACTGCCACAGAACCTTACGATCAACAGAGTCAAATGCCGCCTTAAGGTCTAGGAAAACAACTATTGTAGGACGCCTAAATGTGTGTCTATGTTCCAGGACCTGTCTGAGTGTGAAGACGTGGTCTATACAGCCACGTCCAGGTCGAAAACCAGACTGGTTTTCTCGAGTCTGCTCTTCACGGGCTTTCGTTAAGCGTCGAAGTATTATTGAGGCCAATATTTTAGATACTATATTAGTTAGACTTATTCCGCTGTGATTGTCACAAGAAGACTTTTGTCCTTTCTTATAGATTGGGACAATCAAGGATTGAGACCAGTCGGATGGGATTGCGTCCAGTTCCCAGATTCTACCTAAGATCTCAGTCAACCTAGCTGCTAAAACTGGACCACCATCCTTAAATATCTCAGGGATCAGTCTATCAGGACCTGCAGCTCGTCCTCGTTTCAGATTTCCTAACGCTTTCTCAACGTCATTAAGACAAGGGGGACTTAGGAAAATAATCTCAAGTAAATTGATGTCTGAGAATAGTAAGCATTCGGAATTAGCTGGGAATTAATTATAACATCCTTCATCTTCAGTTCTAGTAATATTCTATAATACAGACATTTGCATTATGTCATTTCGAATCATCATATATTCCTTAATGTTTTATATTGTTCTTACGATTGTTCCAACGATATAATTTCACAGCATTATCTCCATTTTGATGATGATGATGATGACTGATTGTTTCTTTAGTTTACAATCACAGACGTGACAGTCATACTTGTTAAATGCCTTTATTTTTATATTACATAAAAAGTGAATTGAGTAATTTAGTAGAAAATTTCGTGGGTGATATCAAAAAGAAAATAAAACAAGACTGTCTAGACAACCTAATTAGTCTGTCTTTCGCTCTCTCTCTCAAAATCAAATGTTCAACAATTTGTTTTTATTCAAATGATTACAGTCACAACAAATTCACTGATACATAAATAATAATCATAATAATAATAGTAATAATAATAATAATTTATTCTATAATGCTCACAATGATGATATGATGGTTGAATACACTGTGATGTGTTTTGATGAATAACTATTTCTCAATTGATAATTAGATTAGGTTGCAAGTGAATCATATAGTTGTGTTTTCACAATGATTATTATTATTAATAGTAGTAGTAGTAGTAGTGTGGTGTGAGCTACTTATATAAGTAGTATATGACGTGAGTGTCAGTCAACGTAATGTCTGGTAGTGGAAGATGGGGGAAGATCAAGAAAGGAAGAGTTTGTATGAAACGCATGAATAGTGGTGACAATGGATTGATGTTGTTTACAACAGGAACAGTCCAGTTCGATATGAGATGAACTGATATTTTGCAAATGAACGATTTACGACGATATGGTGTTCCGATTTTTTCTGAGTAACTCTGTAATTTTCGTTAAATACAATTCGGTTGCCCCACCTGTGTTCTCCTTCACTACAGTAGTAGTAGTAGTAATAATAGAAAATTAATTCACTTTGTAATATTTAACTTGATAATTTCCTATTATGAAAACACTGGGGTCAGCAAAGGTTGATAAACAACTTGAATCATCAAAAGGCATTGAATAACTTATTATTATTATTTTTCAAATTACTACTCTAGACATTCTTCAGAAATGTACCTTTCTCATATGACACCACGCACAGATAGGTAGATATACACAGGATCTTTATATCTTACTATGGATCTAGTGAATTTCGTAGGTTACTAGTTTTCGATCTTAGATGTCTTCGAAGCATAGCTCGTATACCGTGGGACAACCGAGTAAGCAATGCTGTCGTTAGGAAACGAGTACTAGGCAAGGATGGCAGATCGATCGATGAAGTGGTGAAACTTCATTAGTTGAGGTGGTTAGGACATGTGATGCGTATGCCGAACCACCGACTGCCTCGAAGAGCTTTGTTTTGTAGTGTAGGAGTAGGTTGGAAGAAAGTTAGGGGTGACCAAACCAAAACATGGCAGAAATCCATGAAGTCATGGACGAGTGGACTGAGCCATGTCGGTAATTGTCGACTACCTGGTTGGGGTCCGCGAGATGATGATAATCGATGGCTAGAGACCTTGAATGACATGGCTCAAAATCGTTTGCATTGGCGCCGGTGCATTTATACTTTGTGTTCTTTCAAATCTTAATCTTCTGGGTTCTTCAACACCTCTAGTTTTGACTTTCTAAACTTTTCTCACTGAATCATACTTCTTGAATAATATCTTCTAATCCTAACCTCTCCGATTACTTCTAATACCTTTACTACCTGTTCTACTATTGGATTTGAATTGACAATTATATCTCTGTGCTGATGTGGTATGGTAATATGAACTGATGTACTTACGTAGGAAGTTCTACGTTGCATCTGACTGACTGACTAGTGAATTTCAACTATTTTGGCTATAATATTTGCCGTGAATTCGAAGGTTCTAAGTTATTGACGATAAGTCTACAAAAAAAGAACTAAATTGTTGTTTACTATCTACTGGTTTTTCTAGTGATCTCTTAATCAATCATATCGAATATAGAACCAAGCTTGTAGTACTACTGTTACGCTCGTGTCTAGGTATGCTTGAAACTATTACGAGTTCACGTTAGTCGATAAACGAGAACGAAACAATGAACCAGCATCTAGATAGGCTACTGTGATCCTTTGACCTAAATGTAACAGCAAGAAGTCTTGATATAGCGTAGAAAGTGTATTTTTTCTAAACACCCAGCCAGCACACAATACATCCAAACACTCAAATTGCGTTTATTTATACTCTATAGAGACGTCTTTGGGACAGTCACAATTAAAGCACACTAAAATGCCACAGTAACCAATCACAGCCAATGATTTTCCTGATGGGAAATGTGATCTCAAGGTCAACTGATCGGTTCATGAAATAAATCCAAAATAAAGATATTTACCAAGCGACTTCTGGGGATCTAACATCCCCAACAACTACTCACAAAATATCCGTGAGTGATTGTGATCTCCTGAGGTCTACGGTTACGCTCACATATCACTTAAATCTCTAATAACCTAGTTTATAATCATTTATCTTGAAAAGAAGTGTAATTTCACTATGTAAGCTACAGAGTGATTTTTCGTCTGCTGCTGATTATGAAAATTTTCTGTGAATCGAAAGAAACATTTTTTTGAATGATTAATTTTAGTTTTTCGAGAGCAGTGTAGGGTTGTGGAGATTTTTGAATTTTATTGAGATCATGGATCAATTTATATTAGTCAGCCGTCTACTACTTAGCAGCATTGGGTGACTGTTTCATCCTTGTATGAAACTTCTCAGTAGTGTGCATCCTTGACCCCACCACATCACTCTGGGAATCGATACTGGGACCCTCGATCTTGAGTTCTGGAACTAATGGAACCATTGAGTTGATACAATAATGCAAACTAATAATCAAGCCTAAATTCATGTATTCGGCTTTGATTTAGTTATACATTAGAATACAGAGAGCGAAAGCAAAGCAAACTGGGGTGGATAAGACCGATGAACTAACTCATTTCAATAAACCAAGTCTAAGTACTTGAAGTCAGATTAAAATAGGCTAGATAAATGATAAGCCAAGTGTAGTGAACAAGAACACAGGTGGGGGCAACCGAATTGTATTTAACGAAAATTACAGAGTTACTCAGTAAAATCGGAAAACCATATCGTAAATCGTTCATTTGCAAAATATCAGTCCATCATATCGAACTGGACTGTTCCTGTTGCAAACAACATCAATGCATTGTCACCACTATTCATGCGTTTCATACAAATTCCATTGTTTTCTAACTCTTCCTTTCTTGATCTTCCCTCATCTTCTGCTGCCAGACATTACGTTGACTGACACGTCATATACTACTTATAAGTAGCTCGCACCACACAAGTAACCAATGCACACATATACTCAAATAAAATTAACCAAACATATAAGACAATAATTGACTTTGATCAAAGGACATTTGAATAGTAACTCGGACAGAAATGGTGAACTAGTTTGTCCAAAAAACTAGGATACACACACTATATAGGCTCATTTATATTGTTAGGTACACACAGTTTGACTAACTTACTGCTTGTTATATTATTTATTGTCTATGGTACTAGTGTTTATTTTTTCCAACTTATTCTTTATCGTCTCTCTATGTACGCATATGATTCTTTTTTTTCTCTAGGCTACAGCAGAAAAACAAGCTGGTCTTCCGGTTGCTCCTTACATGGATCCTGATCTTGTAGTGATATCCAATAGTCAATTGAATTTTCTAGATAATATTCTAATACCATTAGTAAAAGAATTGACTTTAGTCTTTCGTGAATTAAATGTAAGTAATGCGTAACTCCTTTTGTTTTTACACTCTACTTTTTTTATTCGTTACAATGTGTTTTTTTCACTGTTGTGTACGTGTGTACGTGTGTGTGTGAGTGAGCATGGATGAGTAGGCGAAGATGCGCCCTAGATATTTTACCATTATAGTTGATCATGATGTGGTGCGCGCTACTTATAAGTAGTATATGACGCGAGTGTCAACGTAATGTCTGGCCGCAGAAGATGGGGGGAAGATCAAGCGAAAGGAAGAAGAGTGGGAACACAATGAAATTTGTATGAAACGCATGAATAGTGAGTGAAATGTCAGACAATGGATTGATGATGATGATGAAGATTTGCAAATTAACCGTTTACGATATGGTTTTCCTATTTTACTGAGTAACTCTGTAATTTTCGTTAGATACAATTCGGTTGTCCTCCGGTTGTCCTCACCTGTGTTCTCCTTCACTACAATGAGATCTGTATGTATTTCCCAAAAATTTCATCTCACCCCTGCTTATGAGTGAAATACAACTACAAATGTTGAAACGATTTCATTTCAACATTTTGAACCATGTGCTAGAAAGTAGTCTATTGTATATGTATTGCTTCGAGTAATGTTATCATTCAGAACTCGAAGGCACTGAACGAAAGTTACATTCTATTACATGACTCATCGATAGTGCACGTCCATGACTCTAAAAGTTGGAATCGAACCCAAGGTCTCCGGTCTCGCATTTGAATGGTTAACCTCTAGACCGGTATTCATCTTAGATAGTCTTCGGTGAATGCCTTACACTTGACATGCTTTAACTCTATTAGTTACGGCTTCTCACTAGAACTCCAAAAAGTTCCCTTCGAAGCTTATTATTGATGAGCACATAATAATTGTGCATCTGTCGTGTGGGTTCGTGAATGCACACTGCTGATGAGTTCATCACTAGGAAGAGACTGCCGTTCAATGCTTCTAGGGTTTCTATTCTAATCTAACTTGGATCAGTTCAAGATTCCAGTATTGTTGTAATTCTCTCTTTATTACAATGCAGCTATTACTCCTAATCCTTAATATTCTCAGACATTAATTCATTCGAAACGTCCCTCCAAATCAGAACACGATTGAACAGAAATGAGATTGTATTTCATTGACAAGGTTAGATGGAAGTCAAGAAGCTCAATAGGAAAAAACCGTTAGGTATATTTATAGTTGATATGTTCGTCTCTAGGTATGCTTGAGGCTATTACGATTTTACTTTAGTCAATAAACGCGAACGAGACAATTATCAGCGTCCAGGTAGGCTACCTTGAATCCAGCGGTAAAACAGAAGTCTTAGTAAGCGTAGAAAGTATATTCTAAAGACACCCAGCAATCACAGGACAATCAAGCATACAACTCTCGTTCATTTATACATCATAGAAACGTCCTTAGGACAGTTATCAAAATAGCCCACTAAAATACACAGCAGCCAATCACAGCCATGGATTTTCCTGGTGGGAAATGAAATCTCAAGGTCAACTGATCATCCCATGCTGGCAAACGTGAAAACTAAAATGAGGCGAATTTTGGGGATCTAACATCTCCATCAATAGTTTTCTTACATGAGAACATTCTAGAATGTTCCCTCAGTATCGGCTAGCGCTGATTGGGCACGAAAGAGCCAATCAGCGTGCAAAACAACACAATCGTGTATGAAACATGCTTTAATCCAATCTATGTCACGCTAACAAATATAATTTAGGTTGATATATTTGAATGAAAAAATTGTTTTTATTTTAACTGGCTGCTTTTAATTTATATGATATTTATTATCTTTCTATATATTTTTTTTCCTTATAGATACTTTTAGAATCTGTGAATCGACGTTTAGAGCATTTCTCTCAGATTAGACAATATGAATTGGCTCAACAACAACAACAACAACAGATGAATGATAATTGTTGTTCAACATTAAAAGCCATATCATCATCACCATCGTCGCCGCCGTCCTCGTCTTTGTCAACAACAACAACAACGGTGACTAATACTCCCGTGTGCTCTGTCATGAAATCCAGTGTTCGAGTCAGTATATTATTATTATTATTACTTCATTAATATAAATTATATGTAATTTATTTACCGGTTAATCTAAATTGCACTTCTATGTACCTACTTATCAAGCTCCAGTTCACTAATGATGATGAGTCTGTTTTTGGGACAACCGATGTAGTAAGCAATGCTAGTGTTAGGAAACGAGTACTAGGTTTGGATGGCGAATCAATAGATGAATTATTGAAACTGAATCAGTTGAAATGGTTAGGATATGTGTTACATATGCCTAACCACCAACGACTGCCTTGATGAGCTATGTTTTGTGATGTAGGAGTAGGGTGGAAGAAAGCTAGCAGTGGCCAGACCAAAATATAGCACAAATCCATGAAGTCACTGATAACGGGCCTAAGCCATGTTGGTATATGTAGACTACCTGATTGTATTATGCGAGACAGTAGTAACTGATGGTTAGAGACGTTGAATGAAGTAGCTCAAAATCGCATCTTTTCTCTATGTTCTCTCACATACCAACCTTTTGAATCCTTTATCACCTTTATCACTGAACAATACTTCTTCAATAATATCTTCGAACCCTCATCTTCTCCATCAGCGCTAATAATTCTACTATCTCTATCTATCACTATGGGATTTCGCTAATGCAGTATGGTAACCTGAACTGTGATGTACGTTCTTACGAAGTTCTACGTTGTAACTGACTGACTAACTATTCCTGCCCCATAGTCTCCTCAATCAAAACATGAAAAAAAAATCCAGTCAATTTTCTTCTGTTTATTTTATCACTCCAAATTCACATGACAATAAAGCATTCCTCTTTCATGATTACAATTCTCACTAGAAATAGGCAATCACAATTTGTGCGTACATATAGCATTGCGGGGTTGTTGTGAAGATTATTAAGTTTATTGAAACCATGAATCGATCGATGTTAGACCACCATTAGAAACCTGGAAGCACTGGACGGCCGTTTCGTCCTGGTATGGGACTCGTTAGCAGTGCGCATCCACGACTCCTGCACTCCGCATGACGCGAACCGAGGACCTTCGGTATTGTGCGCGAACGCCCTGACCGTTAGACCACTGAGCCGGTATCTAACGGTGTTAATGTCTAACTTGATCAAATTCACGGAGTTGCGCAACCTCCAACACTGTATATATCCTAACAGGTTTGAACTTGACTGGTCACGATGATGAGTCCCATACCAGGACGAAACGGCCTTTCCAGTGCTTCCAGGTTTCTAATGGTGGTCTAACATTGACCGATTCACAGTTTCAATAAGCATACATATAGGTAGGTCATTTATGAAATATAAAGCTGTATGTAGATCAGATATAGATGATTTATGAATAATGCAAGATAAGTTATCATCAGTTAACGAATTAAAATATAAAAACTTATTAAGTAAATATAAAAATATCCTAATGTAAATAATATTTTAATGCGCTTATTTTACCTTTTCTCTAAAAATTAAGCACAAATTTTTATTTACTTAAGCTGGCTAGCTGCTTAAGGCATAATTTTTGATGTATATGTATGGGAAAGTTAATGAAAGTAGTAGCTTGCTTTTTAGAGTTGGAGTGACCTAACTAGAAATGAATTTTGAAATAGTAATCATATAGTTAAATATATATTTTTCATTATAGAGTTTTTGGAGATTGTTGTTTTTAGAACCCGAAGCACTGAATGGCTGTTAAATGCCAACCCAGTGGTCTAGAGGGGTTAGGCGTTCGCGTGCACAACCGATAGGCCTTGGTTCGAATCCTCTGAGTAACAGGATTCGTGTATGTGCACTTCTGATGAGTAGTCCCATAGCAGGACAAAACGGCCGTCTAGTGCTGTGCTTCCAGGTTTCTAATGGTGATCTAATAACGATTCATCCATGATTTCTAATTAACTGCTCATCATTTAATACTCTGAGATGCATATATACTGTTGGGGATGTTAGATCCCCAAAATTCGCTTGATAAATGCCTTATTTTGGTTTTCACGTTTTGCCAGCATGGGCTGATCAGGTGACCTTGAGATTTCAATTCCCACCAGGAAAATCCATGGCTGTGATTGGCTGCTGTGTATTTTAATGTGCTATTTTCTTAACTGTCTCAAGGACGTTTCTATGATGTATAAATAAACGAGAGTTGTATGATTGATTGTACTGTGATTGCTGGGTGTTTGTAGAATATACTTTCTATGCTTACAAAGCGTTTTTTTCGCTTTGGGGATTCAAGGTAGCCTACCTGGACGCTGGTTTATTGTCTCGTTCGCGTTTATCGACTAAGGTAAACTTGTAATAGCCTCAAGCATACTAAGTGACGAACTTATCATATACAACATAGCATAAGATTGAACTTAATATCTACAAACCTCATGACTAATACCATGTGAAAATATATATGTACGTAAAGTCAATAAAGAACTTTTCATATATGCGCATCAGCTTAAGTTATCAAACCAAATATATGATTCAAAATGATCTAGTGAAGATGTAGGAGAAGGTAAAGAATGAATGAGTTGATCTGTAGTCATTAACACTGATATTGAGAGTCATATTACGCAACTTATCATCAAAGTTATTATGTGGGCACCAAACAGATCAGTAGTTCTGTATCTATCTATCCATCAAAATGATTCAAATTAACCAGTCAATAACTTCATGAATTGATATCACTCCTTCGTTTGGTCTCGTCTAACTTTCTTTTAACTTATTACTACACTAACCATTACTAAACACTGACATATCTAGCACATATCCTAATCATCACCTCTTTCAATGAAAATTTACTATCTAGATTAGCTAATTTCATATATCTTTTCATAATCTATTGAGTCTGAACTTGATAGTTTACGGGTTCAACTTATTTCAGCGTGTTATATATATTGCGTAACCATTATTTTTACAGAGTAACTATGACTCTCTTAAGGTAGCCAAATGCCCAGCCATCTAATTGAATGGGTATATTAGGTGACGCGCATAAAAGGAGCCTCCTGGGGGTTGTGGTGGCGGCTACCTCTTCGTGGTCCTGACAGGCAACGTGGCGTTTTTTACAGCGCTGAGGCTAAAAGCCGTTCCGAACACTTAGGATACCGTGCCTAGTATGGTCCAGAATAATGGTACGTGTTCATGGTCGAAAGGCTGTGGATGCAGTTAGCTACTCTGAGGGATTAGGACTGAACGCATCTAAGTCCGAATCCCGTTCATCTAGCGTAGGTAAATTTTGAAATATTGGGATAATAGCTTTCCAGGATACTTGAAGGCGGCCCTAGACGATTTGTTTGGGGAAGCAGCCGTAAAGATCCTGGACTATTGACGCCGACCCTATGTGGTTGTCCCAAACACTCTGCATCTCGGTGTATTGTGTCAGCTGGCGTCGAGGCCCCTTAAACAAGGATCTCCTATTGGGTTATGTAATCTGGTGCTAAAGGGTACTGCACGCCAATGATGTCTGCCCACTTCTGTGGGGTTAACCCAGATGGCCGAGTGCTTGCACTTGGTTGAGTCCATGACATCTTCCCCATGGAAGGGTGTACGTTCCGGCTGACCTTGTGGGACAAATTCGATCTTTAGCTTCATGTGTGGTCTGAGGGCTCTGGTCGATTGTATCAGCGCAAGGCAGTTGGAGGCTAGACGATTGGAATGGTTGCTGGTTAGTGCACTGCTTGGGTGGCTCAATAATCTGTCCGGGGCACCAGGTCCAGCTGGGTAAGCCCGCCTTGCCGCCCATGCCGATTGGAGATTGTGGGTAGTGGATTGGTTGGAGGAATCTTGGTGATTCATAAGTGCCCGAACGGTGGCCACTTTTCGTGTGCGTGCTTTTTGGACGTCCGACCTGCTTGCGGTCCAAACTGGACATTATGTACGTTCCCGATTTGGTGCAGGGGTGACCACTAAACGGCTACAGTGAGAATCCTTGTGTTGCCTAAAAAGCAGCGATGTGCATGTGCAGCAGGCTTGTCGGTTAACCAAGACTATATTGCGTAACCAATATTTTTACATATATTAGGTTGGTTCAGTTCTATTGTTCTCTGTTCAAGTTAACTCTCAAATATTTCATCCTTTTGTTAGTCTAATTCTGTTTAATATAACAGTAGATTATTCAATGCGCTATACACTACTCTCGCTGAAGCCTTCACCATGTTTATAATGAATTATTGAATAGTTTACTTATGTGGTATATCAGGAATTCGATTTTCGTGGTGAAAATTCACTTCCTACTTTTATTCCACTAATTCATTCACTCTTTTATCATATTAGACTCTCTGTGTTTAAGTTTCGTTTCTTTTACTTAAGAAATCCATAATTGATACTATTGTGAACCAATCAGAAGTGGCCAAATAAGGAAACCATTTTTCTGACCATCAGAAAATATCCTAAAGGACTAATGTTTATGATTGGTCAAGAAATGACCTCCTTTGCTAAGGAGATGGAATATATATATATAGATAGACTAGTAGTATTCGTATATATGATTGGGTAACCAAATAGACAAGACCAATGGTCCTGGGTTCAACTCCTGCGAGTAGCAGGAGTTGTGGATGCTCACTGCTGAAGATTCCCATTACTTACTTACTTACGCCTGTTACACCCAATGTAGCATAGGCAGCACACCAGTTTTCTCCAACCAACTCTGTCTTGGGCTTCCCTCTCCAGTTCTGTCCAATGTTTGTTCATTCCTCTCATATCTTTCTCTATTTCTCTGCATAATGTGTTCCTTGGCCTTCCTCTTTTCCTTTTACCTTGAGGGTTCCATGTGAGGGAGGGCTTGTCTCGTGATGCAGTTAGGTGCTTTTCTTAGTGTGTGTCCTATCCACTTCCACCGCTTCTTCCTGATTTCCTCCTCCACTGGAATCTGGTTTGTTCTCTCCCACAGTTCGTTGTTGCTGATGGTGTCTGGCCAACGAATCCGAAGTATTTTGTGTAGACAACTGTTCATAAACACTTGTATCTTCTGGATGATGGCTTTGGTAGTTCTGCACGCTTCCACTCCATACAGTAGTAGAATTGTCTTGACATTTGT